CGAGCTACTGGTAGCTCTCGAGCGACGTGTTGGAGACCCCTGCTCTAAAACAATGTGAGCATAATCATTTTGAGCTTGTAATATGTGTTCAACAGGTTGATAAGAAGGTTAATATCATTTTAATGCGTTGTATAAGGACATGAGCAAGTATCGCAAAGATGTGTTATAAGGAAAAGACAAAAGTTTGTAAAATTAACTTCAACTATCAGAAGGACAGCTCATGAAGAACCAATCATGTACAGAAAGGAATGAACAAAGTCAGAGGAACAGTTAAGAAGAAACGTAAATAATACATTTTGAGAAGATTGGATCAGTTGTGCTCCTTTTTTGGAATACTTGAATACTATTTTTTGTGGAATAGCTACTTGATACGCCCCGCCTGACCCAGACTTTGCCCCCAGTTAAGTTGAGTTTGAGACCCCTGGTCTAGGCGGAATAGATTTGCACTTTTATACATTTAAAAGGGTTTTAGTATAACATGTCTGCTTGTTGTTGTTGTTTTCCTCAGTTGTTGTGACTGTCTTAGGAAACATAAGAAAAGTGTCAAGATTTATCCCACGACTATTGAGAGAAATGATCACACTGGGAAGAGAGTGACCACAGAGACTTCAACATTATGCAGCACCGGTGTTCAGGAGTGGCAAGGTTAAAGCCTTTCTCAGATCAACAGTTACCTTTCCTTTCCTCTGATGAGTGGAATACCAACACCAAAACTGACCGACAGGAAACCAAAAGATGAGGCAAGTGGATGGTGATCAAGAGGGGGGGAGAAGAACATTAACATATTCTTCTTAATGCATGTTTAAGCAACAGTACCTGCAATAGATTGTAAATTAGGATACTTTAAGATCTCTATTGTTCAGTTCAGTTCATACGCTGTCAAATAAGACCAAACATGCCATAGTTAGAACTCACTAGTTGATAAATAGTATGTAATGGAGAGCATATGTCCTGTAAAGCAAATGGTACAGATGTGTAATTGAGGTGTACGACTCTGTCTCTAAAAAATAATTTAATTCAATACAAAATAATTTAATCGGAGAGATGATGTAATATGCCAAGAACCAACAGGCTAAATAACAGCACCACATTAAATTAAATTAAATTAAATTAAATAATTAATTATTTATATTTATTAATTTTAATGCATACTACATAGCTTTAATAAATATTATCAAATTAATATTATCAAACACAAACCACATTTATCAACAATTTGTATTCTTTATTTCTTTGCATCATCATGTAATAAAACAAAAAATCCACACTCTCTCTCTCACACACACACACACACACACACAAAATATTTCTAAAGAGCAGAAAGCTCCATATGAAGCTCTATTTCTCACTTTGCCCAAGTAAATAATACTTTTAACTTACATTAATTGCAGTCAGAAAAACAAGTTCAAATTCAAAGAAACCCCCCTATACTGCCGTTGGTTGTTTCCATCATATTAACACTTGAGTTCTCTTCGGTATGGCATCGATCATCTCAATTAATGTCATTTATTGAAGTGAAGTGACCATCTCAGGCAGACTCTTTCAGGAGGACACAACTGGGATCCTTCTTGGCCAAATCCTCTTTTTCAGCTAATCTTTTGGAATTTGTCCGTCCTAAACCTCTATAATAAGTGAAAAGAGTTGAAAAACATGTTATTGTTAGCAATTTACACAAACTTTGCTTATTTGCACTTTAACTTGTGATATACGGTAACATTCTCTTGCGATATCAATTGCATTATGTTTGATCAAACTTGAATGTGTATCAAGCCACCACACTGCAAAAAATCCAATTGCAAATTGTTAAGTTTAAAATGTTTCGTTGAGTGGACAATTTTTAAACACAACTTTTACCTATAAAAACTATGTAACTAATAGTTACAGGATACGCCCAGATACGCTACAGGACATCAAAGAAAAAGACAAGACCTTCTTGCTGGATGCCCCCATATCTAAAGACGGCCTATTTTGGGAGTCTGTGACCGCTGTGATGGAAAAAATTTCGGGCAGCGAAACAGGAATCTGCTGTTTTTCGTCAGCTCATCAACTGGTAGATGAACTAGTTGGACTGGTATGATCATGGAGCAATTTGAGTTGGACTGGTAAATGAATTTACAGAGAAAGGTAAAATTAACTTAAAATAAATTAATTAATCAATTAATTTTAGAAATAATTAATTAATAAGTTTAGAAAGCTTTAAAAATGATTTAGCACAACTTTGACCACTGAAGTTGAGTGAACTCAAAAATGCTTTGCAGCTGGTGGCTTAAATGTTTTTAAACTCAACTTTTTTTTCTTTTTCTTTTTTTTTACTGTGCACAGGCTCACCTGTCGTCCACATCCTGGATAGTATCAGGCAAAGATTGTCCAAGGGTTTCTGGGAGAAAGTAGGCGAAGATCGCACTTAAAATTGGAGCCCCTCCATAGATTAAACCAGGTAGCCATTGGGAATCCTCTCCCAGAAGGAGCACCATGGGGGCCACCATTGCTCCAAACCGAGCCATCATGGAGACCCATCCCATTCCGGTCTGACTGAGAGGACACAGCAAAACATTGCATACGTTGACGTCAGTTGCACTGGAAAATAGTATGGGATTCTGGGATTCCTATTATTGCTTGTCAAAAACCAACAAATTATATGTCCCTCCCCCAAAAATTAGAAATGGACAAATTGATACTGTTATATTTGTAATTAGAATATATATATATATATATATATATATATATAAGTGACATTTTTAGGCTGGTCTGCAGTCAGCGGTCTAACAGCTGACTGACATGACCAATTAAATCAAAGAAGGTGGGATTTAACTAAAAGGGATTCACAAACACCAAACATTAATTCCAGTGCAAGTAGCATATGGGGTTAGATTTCGGTCACAATTCTGCGCACGCTAAGCAAATTTTTGTTTAAAAAAATTCCAAGCATATGAAGTAGATTGATTATTATTTTAATGTTATTACATTGCATTTCAATGTTTATTTAATGGCTTTTTTTATTCGGATGCGAGTGATGAACCGTTTTTACACACTTATTTCATTAAAAGGGGAAAAGTCTGTCCATCTTCATTTCTGAAAATGTGTAACATTTAAGATCCCAGTTCAGTCACATTCATGTTTCTCTAATGTTAATTACATAACTTGCAGTTCAGAAAGAAGTTAGAACTACCACTTGAGGTGTGGCAAACACTGGGACATTAGTACGATTTGATTTTGATTAAAAATAAGCTAAAAAAAAAAGTATACTTAAGTAATACTTATTTTAAATGCAAAGTTGATTTTCGTTAGCTCTAAATATTTTCTTATCTGCGAGACGAACGTTTCTCCGCAAAACTCAGTTCATGCGAAATGCCCTTTTGCGCGCTCAAAATGTGATCTTGCGCGCTCAGAATTGTGACCGAAATCTAATCCCATAGTAGCTAACCTAACTGTATAAAACATATTTATAAATATTATTGTTCTGTTACTGGTCTTGGTCTTCTACCTTTTTCTTTATTCCATTTAATCAATTTTAAAAATATATTATTTGTTTCCTCTAAATAAAAAGACCATTACAACCCACCCCCACTAATGTTCAAGACATGCTTGCGGCCTTGTGGACAAGTGCAATTAAGCTGTGAATCATAGGGAATTTCTTTGTTGTTTAGGATTTAATTACCGGATGACCGTAGGATAAAGCTCTCCAGAGTACAGGTAACAGCAGCTGAATGACGCAGCCAAGCAGCCCTTCCCAATCACTGCCAGGCTGGTGCGTAACACTTGCATGTCTGCACATTCAAAAACATGAGTGTCACAAATACATTGCTCCATGATCAGCCATATGAATGTCAAACCTAAATTGTGGTGAACATATGTGACAATGAGACTGCAGTTGTATTATTATTGCGCTTTACTGCTAACCAGGCTCAAATTCTCACCATAAGGCACCAGAAGATTAATGAGTATCATTACACCAGCCAGTGCAAGAGCTGCGCACTGAGATGGTCTTCGTCCTAACATGCTCATGGATATCGTAACCAAGATTTTGGCTGGTATATCCACCGCTCCAAAGATAATCTGGATAAGATAAATGCTGACCCCAAATTTCTGCAGATCCATGGAGAGGCCATAGTAGGCGAAGCTGGTTGAGAACCTAAGATGTTACAGTTCGAAGGTCACCAAGTGTGGTATGATTTAAATGCGGGTTGTCAATGAATGAAAGGGTAGGATTGAGTGACTGACCAGACTGCACTAAGGCACATGGTGATAGTTCTCATATTGGATGTGCGCAGGAGGTCTAGAGCACTGTAAGAGCCCTGTGAACAGGCCATCTCCTTCTTCATGGACTCTTGCAACATCTGCATGCACAGCCACAACAGAATAAGCACTCCGAATGACTCGGAGGATGCCGAAATTGATACAATCCACATGAAGTCATACCTCAAGGTTGATTTTATCGGCTTCTGCTCGGCGTCCATTTATGCGAGCCACCGTTTTGAGGTTTTTTACTGCCTGCTCTGAGTTCTTGGTCAGGACCAGCCAACGAGCAGACTCTAAGAACCACCTGCAGAAGACAAAAACTCAAACATGAGAAAAATAAACATTGACTCGCACACTGTAAACAAAACAATCTTCGCAAACATTTTCTAAGGATTTCGAGAAGAGGAAGACTTGCATTTTTTTTGCCCAGCCATATGAATTTGAAACCAAATACACAAACGCACCAGATAGACGTCATCAGCGTCACTGCGGACTCGTGAATGTGGATTGACAACAGAAACGGAAGACAATACAATACTGAATAAAGTTGTAGTTTTGGTTATTTTTGGACCAAAATGTATTTTAGATGCTTTCGAAAATTCTAACTAACCCACTGATGTCACTTGGACTACTTTGATGATGTCTTTATTTCCTTTCTGGACAAGGACAGCATACCGTACATACATTTTCAATGGAAGGACAGAAAACTCTCGGACTAAATCTAAAATGTCTTAAACTGTGTTTCGAAGATGAACGGAGGTCTTACGGGCTTGGAACGTCATGAGGGTGAGTCATTAATAACATAATTTTCATTTTTGGGTGAACTAACCCTTTAATAGACATATTGTGATTGTGTAAGGTTCCTGTTTTTTTTTCTTTTTTTCTTGTAGGCGATGGAAGATAACCATGCCCCAGACTAACTTGCCGCTTGCCGGTTGCAATCTACTCCAATCCTCCCCAGGCCAGCACCCAAATCCTCCACTTACCGCTAGAGCCCAAGCCCACAAAAATCACTTTGCTTGAGTAGGACTTACAATAAGGTATCATTTGTTAATGCATTCGCTAACATGAACTAATGGACGTGTTTTACAGCGTTTAATAATAAATGTTGTTCAGTGTTTATTAATGTTAATTCACAGTGCAAGTAATAGCCTATTAACAGACACAAATTTTGATTTAAAAAAAAATGAAATGTTGAAATTAACATGTCACCATGAAAGCAAACTTTTTGTTAATAATAATAATAAGACATTTAACACTTACGTCACTAATAGTGATTAATGACATAATTTTCATTTTTGGGTGAACTAACCCTTTAATAGACATATTGTGATTGTGTAAGGTTCCTGTTTTTTTTTTTTTTTCTTGTAGGCGATGGAAGATAACCATGCCCCAGACTAACTTGCCGCTTGCCGGTTGCAATCTACTCCAATCCTCCCCAGGCCAGCACCCAAATCCTCCACTTACCGCTAGAGCCCAAGCCCACAAAAATCACTTTGCTTGAGTAGGACTTTGTTTAATTTAGCTTTGTTTCCAGTTCAGTTTCATGTGTTAATTTATCTGTTGACATGGTTTTAAATTTCCCCTCATGGCTCTGGTTAATCATTCCATTTAGCTCCAGTGTTATTGCCCATTTTTAGTTGTTCTTTCTCTATGATTGCTATTGTATAGTGGTTGTTCCGTTCAAGTTTTTTTGATTTGTTATTTAATAATGCTGCACATAGATTCTGCTACTTTTTTCATTCCAACTTCCAACGCTTTTTACACTTTTATTCAGAAAGGGGGCATTTAATTGATCAAAATTGACAGTAATGTTACAAAAGATTTCTATTTCAAATAAATGCTGTTCTTTTGAACTTTGTTTAGTACAACCCGTCATGAGCAGAAGACGCACCATGAGTAGAGGAAGGACACATAGAAGGGCAGAGAGACGGCCAATGTGAGCCAGCGCCAGTCTCTGATGCAGTAAGCGATGGCTACCAGGATCAGCTGGCCTGTGGTGTAGCAGTAGCCCGTTCCTGTGCCCACCACCGTCCGCACGCGTGTGGGGATCCATTCCACAACTGAGGAGAAGCAACAATGAAACTTCATGCTTTTCTCCTCTAGGTGTCACCAAATACAATGTAAATCACATGGATTGAATAGATGCCAACCTCTGATCCACAGCTGTGTTATTCACCATACTCACTTAGAGAGAACGAATTGAGCACCACACCAGAAAGGGCCATGCCACAGCAGACACGGAAAATGCAAAACATGGTGAAGGATGTAGAGAAGGCAGCACATGTTCCTCCAACCGCCATCATCAGGTTAGAGATCAGCAGTAAAATGCGCCGGCCAAATCTACAACAGATTATGGGAATTTAATTGGTGTCCTACTGCATTTCCATCAGATGTTTGTTTTTTTGATGTTGTTGTCATGTTTAACTGTAAAAGCTGTCACAACCTGTCAGAAAGTCCCCCAAAAAGCACTGCTCCCACAAGGACGCCTCCCATATATGTAGTTTGACCCATCTGTTTTAGCGCACGCTGGTCACAAACCAAATCCCACTAAAAGAATCAACATTTTAATTAAAAGAACACAGGGAAAAACATACGGCTACACTTTATTTTAAGGTGACGTAAAGTAGTTACATACTTACTCAAATAAGTACTGTGTAATTTTAATTAACTAAATGTACTTACTATAGAGTTAGGGTTTGGTTTAGGTGTACTGTAGTTATTTATAACTTATAGTTATTATTATAGCAAGTACATGTAGTAACGTGTAACTACTTTTAACACCTTAAAATTGAGTGTTACTATCACTTGGTGAACAGGCAGAGGTCATTCAGTGCCCCAAAAAAGTATTTAGACACACAAGGCACACTTACAAATATATGATTTTCATTGAATTATTGCACAAATGGTACTTTTTCTTTAATTTTTGGGTAACACTTTACAATAAGGTATCATTTGTTAATGCATTCGCTAACATGAACTAATGGACGTGTTTTACAGCGTTTATGTTAGTTCACAGTGCAAGTAATAGCCTATTAACAGACACAAATTTTGATTTAAAAAAAATTAAATGTTGAAATTAACATGTCACCATGAAAGCAAACTTTTTGTTAGTAATAATAATAAGACATTTAACACTTACGTCACTAATAATAGTAGAGGTCATTTCTGTCATGTTGTAGTACCATCCATCCTCACACTTCTGCATCTCTATCTCTTCCTCTTCCCGTAGGCTCTCTGAACTATTGCTGTTCAGGAGCTGCCACTGAGGATGTGCGTAGCGTCTACAGCGTTCCGGTTGGCCGTTCTGGTCCAGGGGCACCGTTGCCCGCAGCATGTCCCCCATGGAGGATATTGAGAGGTTGGCGTAGGGGGCGCAGTGGTGCGGCGGCACGGCGGCCACAAAATTCTGCAGCAGGTTATGGCTGGCCATCATCAGGATGGGCATACTCAACATGGTGACATGCAGGATCTGGAAGCGTCCTGTACTGCCCACCTGCTCCAGCAAGTCGGAAAAGGCCATGGCTCAGATGTCCGCAACTATAGGGAATATCACAGGTATTACAACTCACGTGAGGAATACAGTTTATAACCCAATGTTCTGATAACTGGGTTGTAAAATGTGTCTGTGGGAATATAAAGATAAGTCATGTTGGTCAAAAATTCACTTATAGCCTCTGAAATTGCATTTATCACACTCAAATTATATTGCAATCATAAAACAGTTACTTTGCAACATATCTGAATATTTAAATATAATAATTTAGCAGATATGTTTATCCAAATAATTAAAAATACAAGTGTAGCTATTATGGAGATGTAAACGTATTATGCTAATACTGTAATGTTGGCATCACAGTATAAAACAGTTGTACTTAAAGATTACGTTTTACAATTTCAGTCTTTCTACCTTAAAATTTCTCAATTCAGTTACATTCAGTTCTCATTTGTTTCTATAGCGCTTTTCATAATACATATTGTTTAAAAGCAGCATTTCAGAAATGTACTTATACAAATCACACAGTTAGCTAATAATGTTTTAATTTAAACAATGTATTAAGAAACAATGAGCGCATTGAAGTAACTATACATGATTAGATGTATAGAAAATTTGTGCATGTTGATTCAGGACTTATTTTTTCAGTGTAATTATAGCAATGTGAGAGAAAATAGTTTCTATACCATTTGTTTCAGTGTAGGCCTCAAATCCAATAGCAAATTAAATACAAATAATATAAATACAAAGAACACTAATTAAAAAGCTTTACAGATGAGCATAAAAAGCAAGTGCGCACGGACCTGTGGTGACTTGGATGTCCTGAATTTTCTCCCTAGAAAACAAATGGAACTAGAAAGAGATTCTTAATGGGAGAAATAAATGGAGAAACTGTTATGCGTCGTTGTATAATCAGCTCTTAAATTCCTCTGGCTTTCGGGTGGAAATGCACCAAAGGTTTGCTCTGGATTAGAAGGTCCACGTTTAAACCGCTTGTGGCACGAACAGACTTTTCCATGAGGAACAGGAAGAGATGCCTCAGCTCTGAAGTTGTTGTGCTCCTTCTGGAATCCCTTGGCTAACCTCTGTGCTCGTACCTGCTGTGTCCTGAAGATTGTCCAGTGTCCGAGCCGGTGGGGTGTTACTGTGAGGAACTGAGTACAACTCAGGGTAGATTAGTGTGCGGGACATCATGTCTCATTATCAATGTAAAAGGAGGAGGGGATTATGGGTAAATGAATTACTTTTGGGCATAACTCTCTGCTTAGCTAAACGTAGGCAGAGAATTTTGTTCACTCACGCAATAAATGAGACAGAACATGTATGACAAAGTAGAAGAGTAACCAGTGATGTTGAGATATTTTATGTAAGGGGTATTTTCAACATTAAATGTACAAATAAATGCAGACTGAGGATGTGTAGGTCAAAGGCCATATATGCTTAACCAAAAAGTGCTTAACACAGTAAAACTAACAATCATATGATTGGCTTAGATCATTACAAATCAATCCCCAGAACAAATCAAAGTGAAGAGAACTTGAGTGGCATTGCTCAACTGTATGATATGTAAAATATTACCAGAGAGAGAGAGAGAGAGAGAGAGAGAGAGAGAGAGAGAGAGAGAGAAGAGGAGGCAAAGGGAGAGAGCCCCAAGAAAGGGAGAGAGACATAGCATAAAAAGAGCAGAGCATTAAAAGAGACAGAACAACAGTTACAGTCTTCTTTTAACCTTTTCCTGACCATGTGACTAAAATCCAATTGTGAGACATTCAAACTAACCAATCAGATAATTACACTTCCCCCATTGTTCTAAAGTTGTGACAATTCATTGATCCCCAAAGTACACAAATCTTGGCCTACAGGCCTTGATCACTATCAGCCCAATAGTGCAAACTCCAAATGGTTCTTGTGGTTAAAAGAAGGGGTGAAACTAGGGATGGGTACCGAAACCCGGTATTAAACGGGCCCCGGTGCTGAATTTTGAAAGACCGCTGTATCGATAAGCTCGGACGTTATCGGTTCTGCTGTCGGTACTGGAGAAATTATTTATCATTCCTATAAAGACGTTATCTTGAACATGTTTATATCGCCAGCCTTTTCTATATATAAACTATATTTTAATTAAACCATTTGTCTGTGATGCAAATTTGAAATTCGCAGTTTAGCAGAGAGAGAGAGAGAGAGAAGAGAGAGAGCGATCTCTCACGCAAAGCCACAGCACGCGCAACATGACAGCCCTGCTTAATGAGTGACAATGAGGACAGAACTAAACATTCAACGTGGTTACACTTTAGATGTGGGATATTATTCTAATATATTTTGTATTTCGGCTTCCAAAGATTATAAAAAGAAGATATTTGAGATAAAACCGTTAAAAAACGAGACGCATGATCTGTCCAGCTTAACTTCCTTTACTTCACAGCACTGCGGAGCGCTGTCAGTTCTTCCTAAAACCCAAACGTACCGTCAGAATCAGCACGATCGACGATTGTTGCAAAATGCTGTCTTCTACTGTTGCAAGATCAAAAAATGGCCATTAAAAACACAAAAGCCTGCGCAAGAGCCTGTTCACAAGGCGGTGCGCGCTCCGAAACGGACTGCAACGAGACAAGAAAAGTAGCCTATACTTTGGGCTTCGTGTGTCCTCCTTAACTATCAAATATACATACAAATGTCAAAATGACCAGCTCTGAGATTCGCTTAAACACAGTTTATTCACTTAAACACAATTATGTCTTAAATGGACGTAAATAATAGGGAGAAATTGATGGTGCTTCAGTTACCGGTTACCGATTAGATTTGCTCTCGGTCTTAAAGGGGCAGCAGTCTAATAGCCTAAACCTGCTGACGATTCAGCCATTAATACAAATCAAACAACAAAAGGCAGAGAAAATCACTCACAGCTTTTGAATAAGTAACTTTAGATTTAATAAGCATTAATCTATCTATGACTATACTATACAGTGCTATTTTATATTTGATTACTAAATTAGGTTTCTTTTCAGACAGAAACAATTACCTGAAAAGATATGTTAGTACACCTTCCTGAAATTAAAGCACTTTTGTATATAATTTGTATCTTTGATTGATTTTATTCTTGTGTTTGTACTTGTTTTTTTTCTTATGTGTCCTTTTTGTATATAAAACAAAAAAGCCTGCACATTGCTGCATAACAAAAATATATTTTTCTTCGTTTTGCTTTTTCTATTTTACATTTCAAAATATAGAGTTTAATTATGTTCTTAATTCTTAAAAAAAAAAAAAAAAAAAAAAAAAAAAAAATAAGAATACCGTTA